TTTTCAGTAGAATACATCCAAAAGCTTTTCATCTCAACATTTTTGACTGACATCATGCATAGAAAAGTCTTTTTTTATATGGAAAACATGTCAAAATATAGAGAAGATAAATTTCTTCCACATTTTTCATATGTCAAAACTGTCTTTTAAAGCGTGACGACGCATCTTTTATGATGAAGAATGAAGTTCTTTTTGTGAAGATTCTATGATTAATCATAATGATATGAGGGTGTGCATTATTTTTATTCTATTTGTCGATATAAATCTAGGAAAGAGAATGAAATCATACCATACTATATTCGACTAGTTACTTTCGATGTATAAAAACCGTTTTTCTATGATCGAATTCGTTAACTACTCTTCGAAATGAAATTGAACGATTCAATTATTTTATTCTTCTTAACTTTGATTATTTTTTTTTTTATTTGTATAGATTGAAAACAATAGATTAACATCTTTACCTAATAGAATACACCGTTTAAGAGCATTAGAAAAACTTCTACTTACTCAAAATCAATTAACAACATAACCTGATGCTCTTTTTTATTGTTGATCACTTTTTCATTAAACATTTCGTGGAATCATTTAATAAAACGTTTTTCAATAAAATTGTTCAACTATCCTATTTACAAGAATTAATCAGTGATAAATTTAATTCTATTTTATTTTATTAATTTATCTATATTGGATTTTTTAATTTATCTAATTATAATAAAATAGAAGATAAGAATTGTTTTATTCCTATGTGTCACAATTACACAAATGGTTGTCAATACTTTTTGAATAACTTCTCATATAAATAAGAAAGAGAATTGCAATTTTTATCGTTGCAAAGAAAACGATTCAAGATGCATCGAAACATATATTATCCATTTTCTAATATTGATTTCTCATCTATTTTTATTTGATTTTCTAACTCTCAAAAAAAAAAAATATTCTTTTTTTATAAAGAAAAGAGAATAGAAGAAAAGTAACGTTTTTTTCATAGAAATTTCTGTAAAAGAGAATTCTAAGCTGCACTAAACTACATATTATTCATCTGAGATTTGTGCAGTTTGGAGATGTTCGATTAGTGATTTCAATCTATACTTTATTATTTCAAATTCACTATAAACAACTTCCCGAATAGGTTTCCTCTTAAAAAAGTTTATTGAAAAGATTATTAAAAAAAAAATCAGATAATGAAACCTTGTAAAACACGATTTGATATATGTTCATCTTCTCTTTCCAACAGTGAAAACCAGAAAACCCTATCTTCTTTTTAACAAAAGCTATTCAATAAATACTTATCTCTCCTCTTTTAAAAATGACCGTTAGGTAACCGGAAAACATAGGAATAAAATAGTTCTTATCTTCTATTTTATTACAATTAGAATAATTAAACTATGATAAAATAGTATAGAAACAATCGACTATTATTTTCTCTTCAAAACTATATTGAGAAAAACGTTTATTAAAGATTATTAGATGGTATTTAAATATCACTCTCACTACTTTTTCACTCAGTTAACTATAGAAATATTTCTATAAATAATTGTTAAGAACTAATTGAGAATAAATGTTAAATAAAAGAAGAAAAAAAAACGGGTAAGATCTATCAATAAATGTAAATATATATATATAAAATCTAATTGAATAATTAATAAAATATTGTTATGTGTCGAAGGTATATATCATTGGCGTTGTTTATCTGGTTATACAAATCGTTCATATTCAACTATAGCATTATCTTATTATAAATAATCTGATTGAAATCAAATAAATTAATGTTGTTCATTTGAACATATTGTTAAGAATTGGATTGATAAAACAAATGATTTAAATAACGAATCTGATTATGAATATTGACGTTGTTTTGCTCATATTGATCGAAATAATAAACGTTGAATATATTTTATTTAATTGTGATCAAATTCTTGTTTCTCATAAAACATAAGTTAATTTATCGAATTGTTTAAATCGACAATTTATTAAATCATTTCCATGGGATGTTCATGCTCTAGCTCAACGATCCAAGATCATCTTTTCTTGCTTTATTTCATAAAAGTTTTCGTAAATTTTTTTTTAAATAAAAAAA